CCCCAAAACCCCAAAACCCCAAAACCCCAAAACCCCAATTTAAATCAAATATTTTGAAAATCCTCTGTAAAATATAATAATTTCTTGAGATACAATGGAGTTAAATCCTACAAGTTTTCACGTGAACCCTGCCCTAGCAGAAATCAGTGAGAAATGTCCTTTATACGCAAGAGTTCTGGATAAAGGAAACCAATTGACCATGCAAAGCCAGAAAGCAGCTAAGGATAATTGCATGTTCAGAACACATAGCTTTGAAAAATTTCAAGGTCTGGGCCATGTAGAATCGGCACCTATAGGAGGAAATCTGTTTATATCAGGTAGCTCTGCTCCTGTATGCGGGATGAAGGAGAGAAAGGTCGGTCAGAAGAAACAATATTATAAAGCACCGCTTCCAAAAACAAGAAGAAACAAAGTACCTAAAAATTCTGTCCCTCCTTTACAAGGGTTTGGTTGTACAAATCTGAGGTAAGTATATTTCACCTCTACATCTCGGAAAGGGTTTAAACTAGCTTATTCCTTCATATTCTTTCCTGTATCACCTCAGAATCCTCATCGGAAGCATAATCTGCTTATTGTTGCAGTCTACCTTCTTGGTTGTTACTCATCCTGATTTTTGTATAGATCAGAAAGCCTGTCATCGAAGCATTTGGCTAATAAACTATCAAATTTGCCAGCAATTAACTCTAATTCACTCGTAGAGGATGAAGAAGAGAAAGGGCCAGTGAACAAGTTTGTCAGGAAGAGGGGTGTCTCTCAGGCAGCTAGGAGGCAACTCCAAATCTCTAATAGGATAACCAACCTTGGGAAACCGAAAAGAAAAGTCTTCACAATCAACACTTATCCCACAAGAAGTGAGCTAGAAACACTTCAGTGTATTATTCAGAAGAATGATTGGGAAGAAGCACTCGGACCCAACGAAGGCAACCTTATTTGGTTTGGACTCCCTCTCAGGGAGAGTGATTATAAGCTTTTACAGAAGAGAACTAGGCTGTGGTTTAATAAGTACCCAATGAGCGAGTATCTTTGCCGGAAGAAAGTACTCTCCTCTATTTTGGCAAGAATGAGGAAATACTTCCCTGATGACTATAACTTCTTACCTCGTGAATTCCTTTATCCAGAGGAGAAGGAGGATTTGGAAGATTACCTAGAAGACAAACCCAATAACTGGATGATCGCGAAGCCTTCAAGAGGATGTGGTGGAGGAGGAATATTTTTGTTCAAAGGTCAGTTCAGCCCTCCTTACGCTCAGAACGAATTTGTTGTACAAAAATATCTCTCCAAACCTCTCCTCGTTGAAAACAGAAAGTTCGACCTCCGAGTCTATGTCCTTATCAAAAACCTCGACCCGCTCGAGTGCTACTTCAGCAATGAAGGGCTCGTCCGGTTCTGTATCGAAGAGTACAAATAGGCCCACCAGGGACAACTGCAAGGAGATGTGTATGCATCTGACGAACTACTGCCTGAACAAGGAACATGAAAACTACATCAACCCTCAGGAGTATGGAGAAGAAAACAGAGGTCCCAAGAGGCTGATGTCGGTGTTCTTCAAGCAGCTTGAGAAAGAGTCCGGCTTCGACTCTGAGAAGTGCAAAGCTCAGATCAAAGCCACCGTCCGCAAGACCGTGATCAGCATTCTTCCGTACCTGAAGAACTACGCAAAGAAGATGATGAGCACAGACTTGAAGAAGCTGCGGGTGTTCCAGCTCATCGGCTTTGATGTGATGCTGGACCACAACTGAAAGGCATGGCTGATGGAGATCAACGCTAATCCCAGCTTAAACATGTTCTTAGAGAGGCAAAATCCCGAAGGAGAACAAGAGAAGGTCCTCTCTGAAATTGACAAATATCTCAAAACCTTGGTTGTTGAGGATGCAATCAATATTGTTAAATCACGGAAACCGTTAGATGATCTTGGAGTATTTGAAAAAATTCTTCCTGCTGATGAAAGCCATGACCAGTATTATATCTGGGACAAAGTGAGAGAGATATTCAACCTCCTTGCTGGCGTTAAGAAGACGGAATTCATCACAGCAAGTCAATTTCAGAAATTAGGAAGGTGTACTGAATTGACAAGTTCCTCTTTTTCGAAAGCTCATTATGATATAATTTTCAAGAAAATTATTCGAAAGAATGACAGTAATTATATGAACTGAGAGGAGTTCTTCACAGCTCTGGAGCTCGTCGTCCAACAATTCTATGGAGGTCCACCCACATTTGACAATCTCAGGGATTATATTTATGAAGTAGAGAAAGTCTTTGGTTTAAGTACTGAAAGTGATTTTTAATATAAAAAATTCATTTCATGGAAGTAATTAAGGGGTTTTGGGGTTTTGGGGTTTTGGGGTTTTGGGG